AAGTTGACATTCTGCACCAATCTGAAAGATACTACCCGAGACTCACCAGGGAGGCCATCGAAATATTTAAACACCAAAACAATTTCAACAGAAAACAAGAAATTACGGCACTCAATCCAGATTGGAAGCGCGTTTTGCGCCAAACAGCATGTGCGCCGAAGCGTTGGAACGCCCACCCATCCCCCACGCATGAGCACACACGGCTGGGCGCCATAAATACGACTGGGAATTCAGCAGTTGAATCATTCTTAGTCGGAAAGCACGGGAGATCACTTCACCCACTGCCTCATCGCCTTTGAAAATGTCCACCGCAGTTGTGGACGAAACGTCAGGAAGAAATTCCGATAGACCACGGCTTCAAAGCCCGGAAAACATTTCTAAATGTAACATAATTCTTGTTTCCATACCCTACTACACATTTTTTATCTTTATTTGAAGTTTTACGGCAACAAAAGGAGAAAAACATACAAACAGTTATATCGTTAAATTTAAAAAAAAAGGATTTTAAAAGGCCCACAGCCAACTATGATTACCATTTAAAAAACATCAGTTTATTTTTTATCTCGTAAATCAAGTTGACTATGACAACGAGTGCTAGTTTACTGAATTCAACGCAAAAAGTTCTACTAAAGACAATTTCAACTTTTTTCTAATTTAAGCAGCTTACGAATTATATGATAATTAAAAGTGTTGATTTCTTGCCTTTTCAGGATATTTCAGGAATCAAGTCGGATACCTAAATTTTGAAAACGGCAATGAATAGCCAATCAAATTCTGCCCAATTTTGCCCATTTAACGGATTCTCTATCTTTAAAAATGTTGAAGTTACTCATACAAAGATTCACAAAATGGCCACCCTGTATATAAACCCTCATCTCTTTGGTGTTCGATGTTCTTTGTGTGTGTCTCACATCACATCTTTCGTTCTCTACATCATTTCTGGTACCGATCAAAGCTTCTCGGGTATTTATTTCTCCCGTGATCTATCTGGCAGAAGATCCGAAATAACATTAAAAGCTTCGTTCCCAATATCAGATGGCAGCAGATGATCATCGCTTGAACTTATTTTCAAATGTGCAATATTAAGACGCAACTTGACAATGATCGACATATTTATTACCGCACTAGTGCGGAGATAATTTTAAAACGCACTAGTGCGGTAATAAACATAATTAAGACATTTGAAAGAGTGCCAAATCATAGTCAATACATATCAGTTGTAGATAAAATAAATTATTTTAATTTTCTTTATTAAACATTACTATTGACACTTTTCTTAATTTTTTATTAAAGCTGATTTCTCTACAGTTTACTCGAAGTATAACATTCTTCACAGTGCATCTGTGGTGCAAAGTTTGGGAATATAAATTTCTAGTTACCCGAAAATACTCCCTTTCTAATATTTAATAATCTAAATCAGGGTAGGCACGACCAAAAGTAGGAAAGTGGCGACTAAAGTACCTAACTGTAATTTCACACCTGTCGAAAACTAGATACAGCTGATTAATGAAACCCTTGAACAAATTTACATTTACCTACTTCAATGTTTTAATTCACCTTTTCAGGCAAACTTTATATACCCGACGAAAAAAAGTTGCGTGATGATGTCCTGCATAATCAACGAACATAAACTGTTTGAATTATTGTCATCAATTATTTAAGAATGTATTTTCCTGAAGGTAATGAATACCTCGAAAAAATCCCCGGGTTATATTCTCGTGTGTATTTTACGATTGAAGCAATAAAAACATTTATAGCGTGAATTCTAGCAGGAATAAGTCAGTTTCACTGGATTTCACCACTAAACTGGCAAATTATTTAATTTTCAAGTGCGATGGCTTAAGTTGATGTCTTACTTAATTGCTAATCTGGTTTAATGTTCAGATTGAAGTGAAATACGGTTTGATATTTATTTAGCAGTCGTAAGAGTAAATGAACGATGTAAATAAAATCGCAGAAAAAGAATTGCAAATAAACTGAAAAACTGAAATGAAATGGTAGAAACCAAGGCCGTTAAATCCATGTTTGAAGTTAAGACTCGCCTTACCCACTCAGATCAATATTAGCAATTTCCAATTAACACAAAATTATTGCAACACTGATATAAAATATTATGTTGATAAAATGCGATTATGAAAATACCTTACGGTAAATTCAGGCTACCTAATGCATCAAATATGTTTTAAATAAAAGCCAAAGCTACTTGTATCAAAACACAAGTACAACATTCCTTAGCAGGGGTTTTTTTCGTCTCATTCAGTTATTTCCACTTAATGATTGTATATTAATGGACAGCAGCAATCCAGTCAGAATTAGATAGACCAATATAAAAGTTGATTAAGTGGCGGCGCGTAAAGAAATGTAGGTATAATCGGATCCTTGAACTTATCGCTTTATATGGTGTATCAGTGGAATCTAATGGAGACATTTCTAGAATGTTCTGTATTTATGTGCAATGAGGAAACGTGAGCTTTAAATATGTCTTACAAATGTTAGTATTTCGGCATTCCTCCGGAAAAGATTGGGGGATGTTGGTAAATTTCTTACCACCAATTTGTCTTACGACGTCTATTGAAAGAATTAATTCAGGCGTGTAGGCTGAACATAGAATTTATCTCCATAAAATATCTGCGGATTATTGTTTCTCAGGAGAATATTACTTACCTTGCCCTTATTGTTATCTATTTCCAAGAGTCCAAAAGGCTACACATTTTGTATGGTCGACAAACGAACTTCGTAATGTGAATTTAATTCAAAAACAAATCTATAACGTTAGAAACTAAACAATAACTGAAAAAAATTGTTATGGGATTGATTGATACCTAACTGAACCCTTGCAGGAATAAATCCACTCTCTATCTAGACTTTAAAAATGTATGTCTTGATTGACTTGCATAACATACAAATGATAACTTGTTGAACCCTCTTGTCGTTCAAAGCGAAATAAAAAACGTCAAACTTAGTCCCTTGTTTAATAGCATCTTCAGGTTTAACTGCTGTATCTGCTTCTATCCCATAAGAATACTGCAATTTATAGCTGGAGTCCCCTTTTTCATAGGCAACATCTAATCAAATGTAATTGATAGCGTTATCAAACGCCTTATTGTCAAACCCACTGTCTTCAACAGAATACGAACGTCTATGCTTTGGTTCAAATATTTTTTCTTCTTCGTTTTCATCCTTGGTTTGTTCCTCAGTTACTTCCATTGATGTTTCTGTTTGCACTGTTATCAAAAGTTTAAGTCTGATCTTATGCAGATCGCTAGGCGTAACTTTGGCTGCAAGTCTTGATTTTATAATAAGGATTCTCAAAATCCAATGTCAATTCCATCGGATTCTGCTTTCGATCTGACTCAGAAAAGTGACCAAAAAAACGTTAATTCTTTGAAGATATCTTTTTCATCTTGGGCTTCCGCTTGACTGATTTCTTCGTGTATATCAATGCCAGTTTCAAAATTTTGTTATCTTTTTAATTTTCTTGGCTTCTGCATTCCATTCCAGACAGTTACGGTGATGTTATTCTAATAATCTGATTTATTGCTCCTTTCCAGTTTAAGTTGCAAAGCGTTTTTTCTTTTCAATTGCTTCTACTTCTTTTGAGCTCATATATTTCCCAATAAAACATTTTGAAGTTCGATATGTCTTCCTAGATAAGTCTGCTCTAGTGTCGAATTGGTCCTCCTGTCCTTTCCACTCCTCGAAACGTATTTCTGCCTGATCTCGATTGATTTTCGTTCTGTTTCCTGCTTTCCGACCAGCTTCAGTTCCCTCTCATTTATCTCTATCTGTTCTCTTTTATAGTCATCTTGTTTAAATGTTTTTCTTTCTTCTGCTTCTTCATCAATTTCCATAGGCTTCTTCTTTCAATCTCTTTACTCATTCAAATATGAAACGTATTATCCCAACCCATTGCTACTATCGTGTTTTCTTCGTTGCCTTTTGTCTTCTATCAGATTTCTATTTTCTCTTTAACTTTTTTTATTTATTAGTTAA